TGGGGCCAAGCAGGGAAGAAAGCAATTTTTAAAACCCAACATCTCTTTGAGAATATTTTAAAAATGTGTCCTTTTGGCCTGGAGTGGCAGTTTTGAGGACAGTCTCCTTATCAACTTTAAAGTATTTGGTGGCGGTTTACCTCTCCACCCTGCAATTCAGCTGAGATCATTCCCTCTGTTGACATAATAATGGGACCTTCTGACCTTGTATCAATGAAGGAAGGCCTTTTCAAGAAATGAGAAGGAAAATTGTGACTGTTTTTAACTCTAACGGAATTACTGCCTGGTTTGCCCTGAATCCCAGGCTTTTTTACTTTCTTTTTCTTTTCGCTGTTTACATGCTACACTAAGGTCTTTTTCCTTGAGGTAGTTCAGCATTCATTCAGCTGATGCAGGCCCCACTAGATCTAAACACACCTCCAGGTGTTCCCTCTACTAAAGATTTCAGGTTCCAGGCAAGTGGCTCCTGTATGATCTCACAGAGAGCAGACATCTTGAAAGGACATGCTCCAGGATGGCCTGGTGGTGGCCATCAGCAAGGCCACAGACACAGCTCTTGAGATTCCCTGAACCATGCAGACTTATGGCCACCGTGGTTATCTGCATTTGTTCCCCACGGAACCCAGAATGTACTTCTAGCGGCAGGCATCTTGCCAAAATAGCTGCACGCATGCTTAATTCACCCACTGAGTCAATCTCAGATGATCTCTACTATGAATAAATATGATCTTTTCCTCTTGACAGGTTTGCTCTTAAAAGCGCTGCCCTTGCCATGAATAAACATGAAATCCTCTCCCTGCCTGCCACTGTTATTAGGTACCACTGAGCAGACTAGGACTTACAGTGACCCTATGAGCCCCATCCTGAGCCATCCTCATCTTCTTTGATATACTTAGTCACTCTATCAATCCACCTTATTGAAGGTCTTTCTTTCACTTATCTACCTTTCCAAGTATGCATTTTTTAGTAAGGAGTGGCCTCTTCTAATAAAGTATTGGAGAAGAAGTTTCAGTTTCACCATCATTGCCTTTAAGAAGTATCCTATTTGTCTTCCTCCAAAACCTGTTTGTCTTCCTCCAAGGCCTGTTTGTTCTTCTGGCAATCCATGGGATATTCTGTACTTTACTCCCAACACTACAACACAAAGGCATCAATCCCGTTTTCCTTATTCACTGTCCAACTTTCAGATGCACGGGAAGCAAGTGAAAAGATCATGGCTTGGATCAGGGTTGTGTCATCTGCATAACGTAGATTGTTAATAGATCTTCCACCAATCCTGATGCCACAATTCTCCTCATAGAGCGGAGCCTCTCAGATAATCTGTTCTGCATACAGGTTGAAAAGGTATGGAGATAGGACACATCCCTGACGTACACCCTTCCCAATTTTGAACCATGCAGTGTTTCCCTGCTCTGTTCTGACGAATGCCTCTTGTTCCAAGAATAGGTTTCGCATTAGCACGATCAAGTGTTCTGGGATTCCCATTCTTCTCAGAGTCAGCCACAGTTTGTTATGATCCACACAGTCAAATGCCTCTGTATAGTCAATGAAACACAGATATACATTCCTCTGGTATTCCCTGCTTTCAGCTAAGATTGTAGCTACTTTCATTAGCCGTGGTAAAATGCCTTTATTGCCAAAAATGGCTTTCCTAGTCACTGCCTTCACCTTTCGCTGTTAAAGGCCACTGAGTTGGAGTTGACTCTACAGTGTGTTTTGAGAGGCAGTAAACTGAACAGAAGGAGACTGCTCATGTTTCTCCTGTGAAGCAGCTAATGGATTTGAACTATGTGTCTTTGAGTTAGCAGCGCAGCTCCTGAGCACTAGGCCACCAGCCACCCACGCGGCTGGGTAGGAACATACAGAGTGTGAAAACTATTAGGATAGAATTGATTAGATGTGCTACAGGTTCAGCGCCAGTAACTGGGACTTCTGCTGCCAGTAGAGAAGAAAAACACAGAGAATGCAGTGTGCATCCTTAGAGGCTGGAGACCCTCGTGCCTGGGACATAAGAGCACAGCAGTAGTGGTAGAGAACCAGGGATATGACGACAGAGCCGGCCTGGGATTGCTGCTCTATGGAGTCAGAGCTGGGGCATTACCTTGTTGGAGGGAGGAGACACCATAATCGCAGGACTAAGGGGGACTCTGTAACACTGACCTGAGCTGAGAGGCTGAAGGTTGAAGGGCCTGGGAGCACACCTGAGAAGCCAATCTGAGTGAGGAACTGTATGCTGTTGCCAGCCTGAATTGTGAGTTGCTATCGTCTCTGATACACTTGATAAGCATGAGCATCGCTCTGAGTTCAGTGTGGTCAACAGAATGAACGGCAGACACAGTAGAGCAGGTGAGAGAGTTCCGAGAGGATTGGTTGGTATTAGAATTAGTAGAGGCAGCGGGGTGAGGGCAGTGTGCAGACGCATACTGGGCTTCATGGGAACAATTCTGTGCTGTGAGTGTTGATGATGGGGATGCTCTGTCCTCATGGAGTTGGTGGAGGTCAGACACTGCCACCTCGATTCTTTTTCTTCCCCCCTCCTCATTAAACTTTGTTTTAATGACTCCCATTCTTCTTACAGTCAACCAAACTCAACCCATTGCCATTGTGTTTGAATCAACTGACAGCTGTCTAGTGGGTTTTTAAAATCTATAAACTGCATGTGAAGTGACTGTCCACCTTTCTTATCAGGAGCAGGTGGTGGATTTGAACTGGCTACCTGTGGGTTGGCAGTGCGACTCCTTACTGACGAGGACTCCCTTTTGACATTCGTTGTTAGGGACCATCGAGTCAAATACAGCTCAAACTGTGAACAAAAGATGTCGTGTGCCCTTCTCACCACTTCTGACACATACTTGAGCCCAATGCTGCTGCCACTGTGTCAATCTATCCACTGACCCTCCACCTTTCCAAGCATGACATCCCTCTCCACGGAATAGCCTCTCCTAGCAACATGCCCAAAGTATGAGACAAAGCACCGTCTTCTTTGCCTCTAAGGAACACCCCAGCTGTTCTTTCTCAAAGACATATGTGTGTGTTCCTTTGGCAGTCCATGAGATATCCATACTCTTCTCCAACATCGCAGCTCCGAGGCATCAATTCTTCGTCCGTCATCCTTATTCATTCTCCAGCTCTCAGATGAACGAAACTTATCATAGCGTCAAGCAGCAGAAGGTAAAACAGCATTCAGGCCAACATAGTCAAAAGGAAAATGTCCACCTCCCACACTAGAAATGCAGTCTAGTAACGAGGGGTGGGGGGATGCTCACAACCACAGAAAACAAACATTCACTAATGAATAAACTTCAATACCATTCCAATCATTCTCAGTAATCACAGCGTATGTTTACTGCACTCCTACCCACGCTGGGTTACTGTCTATTCATACCTATCAACGCATTCATGTTCTGAGAACATGCAGCACAATGCAGAAGGTTCTAGAAGCTAATGGCTCCTTTTAGGGTAAAAGCTGACACAAGTCAGAACCTGTGTAAGGCAGAAACCTGTCAAGAGAACGAAATGGAGGCTATTTTTCTACTCAAACAAGTAATAAGAAAGTAAGGTGTCTGAACTCTGCCAAAGGTGGAAAGTCAGAGAGGCCCGAAAACAGGACAGGGCTGTGGAGGTACTGCTCCCACAAGCTTCTCTGTCAAAGTGATTTAAATGAGTAACCTTCCCAGTGAAAAAGAAAATGTATTTTAAAAGTTTATTATATTGAATTGAAGGACCTTAGGGCTGTGGCACACAATTTAGAAATGTAGTAGTATTAAACTTGCCCTACGCTGGGCACAGTGGCTGGTACAAAGGGAAAAACAGCAAGCCAGACAGCTGGGACCTCATGAGCTGCTCTCTGGCCTCAGGACTATGGCCACATGGGCTGGCCCTTAGGGGATGAGGTGAGTCAAAACCAAGGTTCCCAGATGCTCTGCCGAGAAAAGGAGGGACAATCTCCTCCTGTACCAGTCAGATCTGATTTGACGGTACACTCACACAAAAATAAAATAAATTTAAAAAAAATTGACCTTAAAACAAACAAACAAAAAACCAAGGTTCCCCCCACGCTTTGGTCATAGGACCTTGTTTAAACATTTTCCATACAGGAACCACTTGCAAGTCTCTCTCATTATCTTATTTACTACATCTCTGTGAGGGAAGATGCTAATACATTTATGTACATTAATGCATTTCCTCCTAAAAAGGACCCAGAGGTAGATGGTACTATATTTAGTCCCCCATTACAGATGAGGAAAATGATACTTTGATGCTTCCACAGTTTCCTCAGATCTACGTCAAATTTGCACCCCACTTTTTTATTGTCTTTTAGGTATATCATGGAATCAGTTCTCATTTAAAAATGTGACACACACCGCTCCATGTTAGTTACTATTTTCACACTGTGTCAGCATGTCTACTGTTGCCGTCTGTTCGGTTTTCATTGCTCTAAATTCCCTCCCTGTTCCTCGCCTTCTCATCCTGGCTTTTGGGTAAAAGGTCCTCAGATTCTTAATTATTTCCCTCTGGGACCAGCTGGACCCAGGTGCCCAGGACAGGCTCTAAGGCAGGCGAGGGGGTGCACCGATGGGAGGAAGAAGGGGCAGCAAGGGGAGGAGGTGAAAGGGTGGGGGGCAGGGGCAGAGGGGTGCACAGACTACTGTAAGAGATGACAGCACTGGGCAAAGGTGAGGGGATGGCGCTGAGTGTAGGTGTGGGGGACGTGAGAGGGCAGCGATGAGTGGAGGTGAAGGGGCAGTATGAGCAGAGGTGAGGGGGGAGGTGAGGGGCCAGCGATGAGCAGAGGTGAGGGGGCTGTGGTGAGCGAAGGTGAGGGGCTGCGGTGAGCGGAGGTGAGGGGGCTGCAATGAGCAGAGGAGAGGGGCTGCGGTGAGTGAGGGGCTGCGGTGAGTGAAGGTGAGGGGGCTGCGATGAGCGGAGGAGAGGGGCCAGTGATGAGCAGAAGTGAGGGGGCTGCGATGAGCATGGGGCCAGGGCGCAAAGCGAGGTACCTTCTCCGCGATGCCGTTTTCTGTGGTGTAGACTGCCATGAGCTCAGTGTCTTCATTGTCTTGCTCACCGCTGGACGTGGCACCTCCATTTATCACCACCTGAAAAGAACCAGCGCAGTCCATTTAGCGCCTGTCTCAATGCCCACTACTCCGTGCACGGAGACAGTTTCAAGCCCATCCCTCAACTCTTCACAGCCCAAACCTGGCCTTGTCACCTAACAGATGAGCCCAGTTTTAGAGCCCCATTCCAGGCCTCCAGGGCTGATGGAGAAGAGGCGCACACCATCAGGGGTGGACACTCCTGAAGGCACCCAGTTTAACGACGACAGCATCAGCGCAGCTCAGGTCCAACAAAAGCCAGGTGTCGGTGGAATCCTGCACCTGGATCCGCCTCCGGGGTCTGTCCACACAAGCGCGGATCCCTCTGTGCACAATGCCCTCTCCTCGAGATGCTGCACATCACAGTCAAATGAACATGTGCTCTAAAACTGCACAGGGAGCTCCAAGGGCCTGTGCGAAAGGAGCTGCGCTGCCAACCCAAAGGTACCTGGTTTGAATCCACCAGCTGCTCTGTGGGAGGTGGACAGGCAGTCTCCTCCTGTGCAAGTCACAGTCTCTGAAAACCAGCTGGAGGGTCAGCTGAATCAGTCCTGACTCAACAGCACAGATCAACAACAGTACACAAGTGCTTAGTGGTGCAGTGGGCTGAGTGTTGAGCTGCTAACGCAAAACGCAGCAGTAGGAACCCATCAGGTACTCCCTAGAGACCACTGAGGCGCCTGTCCGCTCTCCAAGGTTTACAGCCTCTGCCACCCTTTGGGGACAGTGGTACTTGTAGCGTCACTATGGGTTGGAGATCTTATTCAATGGTAATGATTTTTTGGTGTGTAGCTGAAGACGCCTGACAAGTCCTGGCTGAGTACTCCCCACCTCCCAGTCATGGACCTCCTCCCCTCCTCAGTGGCCACCATGAAAAATCCCGACTGACCGCAGGAGGCTGCCATCAGACACATGTCTTCTTGAGTCCCTCAAGCTGCAGCAGGAAGAATGCACTGGGGAATGGAGGAAATGGGATGGCAGAGGCAGAGGCAAAGACCCCTGGGGGCCACAGTCAGGCAACAGAGACAGTGGCTAAAGCCATGGACATGGCTTTGGGAAATCTAGCCTGATTCAATGCTGTTGCTCCGTGCTGTCAAGTGAGGACTGACTCACAGCTGACCCTCCCGCGGGTTTTCAGCCGCCGTAGGTCACATGGGAGGAGGATGCTCATCTTTCTTCCCGTGGAGTAGCTGGTGGATTCAAACCTCTTCACATGGGTTACCAGAATGACTGCCTGGTTACAACAATGAATCCATTTTAAAAACCCTCAAAACATAAACAAAAAGGACTGACTGAAGGGAGCTCTGGTGGCCTAGTGGCAAGAAGCTGCACTACAATCCCAGAGATACAAGGTTCGTATCCACCAGATGGTCGGCTGGAAAAGGAAAGGCAATCTCCTCAGTCAGATCCAATTTGATGGTACACACACAAAAAATATTAAAATTTAAGTAAATAAATAACTGACTGCCTGAGTGAGACTGGGGGGGGGCATGAGCACTGGAGGCAGTGCTGTGCAGCACCACAGGTGGGTGCAGGGGAGACACTCCTCACAGCATACCAGGCCTCTGTCCAGTTTCCTCACCTGGATAACTGGATGGGCAAAGGTTCTGGTCCCAAAGATGTCAAGGTTGGTGTATGGCAGGGCCAGGGTAATAAATAAATGGGAATTGTAATGCTTGCTACTTTCATCTACAGCAATAATCCTATAAAAGAAATGTTATTTTCCCAGGCTAGTCCAGGAACGTTTATATAGACATAAATATTGCTGACCTCCAAAACCTAGGAATTCTCACAGTTCCACAGATGGAGCTGTCCCCGGGGACCAGTGAGCCCATTGCTGCTGTTTACTTCCTGTTAGTCACGCCACCCTCAGCCCTGATGCCAGGGGAGCAGTCCCCTAACCCCTGTGGCCCTTTGCTCTGGGTGCCACCACAGCTCCAGCTGGGAAGGGGACACACAGAGAAGGTGGAGCAGTTTCAGAGCCCAGGAGGAAACAAAGTGAGATTTTCCTGAAGGAGCAGGTCATTTCAGCACCAAAGAGAAGCCAGGCCCTTGGAGGTGGGGGCTCCCGGACAGACAATACCTTGCTAACATTACCTAAATGAGTGGAGTTGACTGTTACATAAAGTTGAGGAGTGCCAGTCAAAATACTACTCTATTTCACGGATATTTTTCTCTGTGGTTTATTAAATTAAGGATTTTAACAGTCTACTTTTTAAAAAAACATGAAATTTCATTTTAAAAATAAAATGTTGACAAAATATCCTTCAAGAAAGGCACTGATTTTTTTTAAAGGATGAAAAATGTAGCTGATAGCATCAGAGCTCCACATTTCTCAACTTCTAAATATTAGTTTAACTGGGAAATAAAAACATGGTTTGGAAAGCTTTCCAGACGTAATCAAGATGGGTTTCTTTTTGCCTATTACAAGCATCCCAGATAACAGAGGAGAATCTTGGCATCATTCAGCTCAGGAAATTGATCGCATTTTTATACGAAAAAGTCAGATTATTTATAAACACTTCAGGAGCAAGATGTCCTTTTCTCCCTTCTAAACAATTTTAAACCAAACTTGTGGCTTTACTTTTCCTCCTCCTCCTAAATGAATATAGTAAAACTTCTCAGTCAGTTTTGGGAGCAGGTTTTGTTTCTTCTGCCCCACTTGCCCGTCGTTCCTGGCTGGCTGTCTCCCACTGAGAGCCACTGCAGGGCGGAGGGCGTGAGGGTGGCTATTGCTCAATAAGCACTTTTTCTTGTTCAAGTGTATTATTTCTATCAAATCAAGACAATACACTTTGCAAATTCTGTACTTTCTGTTCTTTTCGTGAAAAGCTAATTACTCACTCTCCCCCCCTCCTCCAACAGCAGCAGAAAAAAAGACTATTTCTCCTTGGGGGACAACTGCATTTATTTTAAAGAAAGAAAAAAGGATATTGGGATTACTGTTTTCCAGGCTTTACCTCACACTGTGTTTCAATAAACATAAAAATCTTCCTCCTCTCTTCAATGTTTTTGTGACATTCCAAAATTAACAGTCATGAAAAAGAAACCAAGTGAGGATAATACAGAATATTATTATTTTCCACACTACTGTACACCTCTGGAGCCTGTGGGTCTCAGACACGACACTACGGCAGATGTAGCTGATACATAACCACCCACAGCTGGCTGACACAGCAAAGCCTCTTCACAGGACAGGCTTCGTGTGCCGCAAGCAAAGCCACCTGGAGCAAGCGATATTGTTTTTGTGTGCTGTTGGGTTGAAAGTGACCCACAATTGACTCTCCACCTGGCTTTCAAAGGCAGCAAATCGCATGGGAGGAGACTGCCCATCCTTCTCTGCAGAGCATTTGGTAGATTCGAACTGCATGCCTTTGGGATTGCAGTGCAACTTCTTAGCACTAGGCCACCGGTCACTCTCTCCTGCACTGTTCCACTAAAGAAGTCTCCTGAAGCAGCAACCAATAGAAGCCCCTCTAAGGTTCCAGGTGTGGACCACCCATCTCATTCAAGGGAGCTGGGTGGTGGTGTCTCACCTCCCATCAATCTTAGTTCACAGCCCTGAGTGCTGGGTAGGTGGATGTGCCCGTCTCCGCCCCACAGAGAAAACCCCTCAGCTGGTCTTGCTCTGCTCCCCCACGCACTCCATGAAGACAGTGATAGGGACAGCTCGTTTGCTGGCTATGTGTTTATGCCAGGCCTTGGATGTGTTTGTCATTGGTAGGTGCCACAGAACAGTCTCTGCAATGCCTGGCAACCTCGGTCACAAATGGACAAAGCACAGCCCATCCCACCTTACACTGTCCCCATGATGGACTGCAGAACAGACCTCTGCAATTCTGAGCTTTCACTGGGTGATTTTTAGCAAACTGCCACTCCTTTCTTCCCAGTCTGTCTTAGTCTAGAAGCTCTGCTGGAACCTGTTCAGGAAACAGTAACCCATAACCTAAACCTCCATCTATGAGCCAGGTAGTGACCACGCACAAGGTGCATGGGCTGGAAGAGGAAACCAAGTCTCCCACATTGAAGGTGAGAATTCTCCAGCAGAACCACTCAACATCTGAAGGCGCCACCTGGTGGTGGTGTTATGCACTGATGAACTGGAACAGACTCCTAAATTGACTTAGTGGGTTGTCAGAGGCTCATGAGTCTCTTGAGTCTCATGAGAGGAGAAGGCCCATTGTCTCCTGCAGAGCTGCTGGCGGATTCGAACCGCCTGTCTCTGGGTTGGCAGAACAGCTCATTACCACTACAAGGGCTTAAAAAGATATGTCCCCGTGCACCCTCATTTTAAATCAGCATTGCTCAGATTTTAAAGAAATAAACATTTTAAAACAGAATATCCCTTAAGATGAGTTGATTTAATGACAGGACATCCTCTGGGTTATGTTTGGATACTGTTGAGAAGCAAGAGGTAAAGGTGAGTGTCAATACTGGACCCTTCTCCTGACCTTCACCATCCTTTCCAGCCAGACAGCGCCAATCCCCTCCCTGGGAGCAGAGAAAGCTGGAGTGAGAGGATGCCTCTGAGAAGTTCATTACTGGCCTCTGTGAGTATGGACACAAAGATGAATGAAGTGACAAGCTCTGGTGGCCTAGTGGCAAGAAGCTGCACTGCAACGGAGGTGCAGGGTTCAAATCCACCAGATGCTCTGCTGGAGAAGGAGGGACAATCTCCTCCTGTACGTACCAGTCAGATCTGATTTGACAGTATACACACGTACAAATAATAAAATTTGGGGGGGGGGAGATTAAGAGGGGAAAAAAGGATTCTCCCCACCTCAGTGTGATTTCTACACATTCATTTCTTCCTGTACACTCTTGATGCATGCACATCCCTTTCTGAAGCACCAGGTTCAATGTTAATAAATATGACACCTCACTTCATTTAATCCATGCAACACCCAAAGGTCAATGCTATTTTTCCTTTCACTTTACACTTAACGTCACTGATTGATGCTCAGAATCGTATCTGTGCCCAGATCTCGAGCTCTTCACCA